GTGAAGCGAGGGAGTCACAACTTCACCACTAGATGCCAATAAACAAAAAGACCAGTAAGAGAATCGGAAGCGAATATAACGTAGTTCAGTTTGTAACCACAGAAGTCATTGGGCGACCCCCAGCTGGACTCAGCAGTCTCATAAGGTCACACAGACTCTGTGGGACTGCCGGTCCCGGGTCGTCCCCTCTGTGACCTGGATCTTGTGTCCCTCCTCAGGCTGGGTCTGGTGGGGAAGCTGAAGAGGGTCCTGCTGTGGCTGCTGGTCGTCTACGTCTCGATACCCGTCATCATCAAACTGTGTCCTTCAATACAGGCCAAACTCGTCTTCCTCAACTTCGGTGAGTGTTTCTGATCAGTAATCAATACTCTCATTTATCAGACTTTAGCAGTTAGCTAGTGTTCTATTGATCATACACTGTATCTTTATTGATTATTGATCAGTATACACTGTATCTTTATTGATCATTGATCAGTATACACTGTATCTTTATTGATTATTGATCAGTATACACTGTATCTTTATTGATTATTGATCAGTATACACTGTATCTTTATTGATGATATTGATCAGTATACACTGTATCTTTATGGATTATTGATCAGTATACACTGTATCTTTATTGATTATTGATCAGTATACACTGTATCTTTATTGATCATTGATCAGTATACACTGTATCTTTATTGATCATTGATCAGTATACACTGTATCTTTATGGATGAACAGACTGAGAGAATGAGTCTGTCAGGGGTTCAAAGGTCAGACAGACTAATGTTACTGCTGTGAGACCTGAAACCTGTCTGAGTAGGACAGGAAGTGGGCGGGGACACTCTGTGATTGACAGCTGCTGTAACAGGAGATGACCTGTCAGTGACCTCTGACCTCTGACCTGCAGTGAGGTTGCCGTACTTCATCGACCTGAAGAGACCTTTGGACCAGGGACTGAACCACACACACAACTTCTACCTGGAGCCTGAAACTGGACTGAAGATCGGAGTCTGGTAACACACACACACACACACACACACACACACACACACACACACACTGCAACACACACACACACACACACGCACACACACACACACACTGCCACACACACACACTGCCACACACACACACACACACGCAACACACACACACACACACACAAACACACGCTGTAACAGTGTATTGATCGGTATTGATCAACATTGATGGTATTGATCAGTATTGTAAGTAATTTCCCCACAGGGATTATTAAAGTATTTCTGATTCTGATCTGATTATTGATCAGTATTGATCGTATTGATCAGAATTGATCGTATTGAGGGTATTGATCAGTATTGATGGTACTGATCAGTATTGATCAGTATTGATCGTATTGAGGGTATTGATCAGTATTGATGGTACTGATCAGTATTGATGGTACTGATCAGTATTGATCGTATTGAGGGTATTGATCAGTATTGATGGTACTGATCAGTATTGATGGTACTGATCAGTATTGATGGTACTGATCAGTATTGATCGTATTGAGGGTATTGATCAGTATTGATGGTACTGATCAGTATTGATGGTACTGATCAGTATTGATGGTACTGATCAGTATTGATCGTATTGAGGGTATTGATCAGTATTGATGGTACTGATCAATATTGATCAGTATTGATCGTATTGAGGGTATTGATCAGTATTGATGGTACTGATCAGTATTGATCGTATTGGGTGTTTCAGGCACACAGTTCCTGCTCAGATGTGGAGAGAAGCTCAGGGGAAACAGGGCGACTGGTACGACTCCATGTTGACCTCCACTCACCCTCTCATCCTCTATCTCCATGGAAACGCAGGGACCAGGTGACAACACACACACACAGTCTGTGTGACCTTTGACCTCTAGTGTCACTGTGTTTGACCTTTGACCTGTTTGATTCTCTGCAGAGGAGGAGACCACAGAGTGCAGCTGTACAAGGTAAACAAATACTTTACTCGAGTACTGTGGTACATTTCAGTTACTTATTGACCTTAAACACAACATTCATCACCAATAAATATAGATTATTGATTAGGACACCAATATGTTATTGATTAGGACACCAATATGTAATTGATTAGGACACCAATATGTTATTGATTAGGACACCAATATGTTATTGATTAGGACACCAATATGTTATTGATTAGGACACCAGGACACCAATATGTTATTGATTAGGACACCAGCTGTGGTGGAAGAAGAACCTTTTGAGAAGTTGAGAGTAACAGCTTTAAGTTGGATCTCCCAGCTTCTCTCTAACATTACCATAATAATAATTAATAATAATAATTATAATAATAATAATAATAATTATAATTATATAATAATATCGTTAACTTTGTACCTTTCATACGTAAGTTATTATCATGGCTCACGTTAGCTTCCCCAGCTAACGTGAGCCATGATAATAACTTCCTTGTTGTCGTAGCAACATCAGAAACAGTGAGCGCTGCAGTTAGCTAGCGGTGGTGCTAATGTTCTGTCTGTCTTCCTTCAGGTCCTCAGTTCATTAGGCTACCATGTAGTGGCGTTTGATTACCGAGGTGAGACAAAGCTTCAGTCCATTTAATGAGCTTTAACTTTAATCTGTAATACAGTACAACAGAGTGTGTGTGTGTGTGTGTGTGTGTGTGTGTGTGTGTAGGCTGGGGGGATTCAGACGGCTCTCCCTCAGAGGGGGGGATGACATCAGACGCTCTCTTCATCTACGATTGGCTGAAACAGCGGCTGGACACCAAAACGCCGATTTACATCTGGGGACACTCTCTGGGGACGGGGTGAGCTATAATGGCTAACATTAGCTTCCCCAGCTAACTAACACACTCCTGCTTCTAAGTTGTTGTTGTTGTTATTGTTATTATTATTATTATTATTATTATTATTATTATTATTATTATTATTATTATTATTATTATTAAAGGATTCTAATTAAATGTGATTGTTTTGTTTTACAGAGTTGCCACCAACCTGGTCAGACGTCTGTGTGACAGAGGTAACAAACACACACACAGTAACACACACACACACACACACATACACAGTAACACACACACACATACACAGTAACACACACACACACACACATACACAGTAACACACACACACATACACAGTAACACACACACACATACACAGTAACACACACATACACACACAGTAACACACACACACACACACACACATACACAGTAACACACACACACACACACACATACACAGTAACACACACACACACACACACACACATACACAGTAACACACACACACACACACACACACAGTTTATTATAGTTATATTAATATTTGAGTCGTTGTTTACAGGAAGTCCTCCTGGCGCTCTGATCTTAGAGTCTCCGTTCACCAACATCAGAGAGGAGGCCAAGAGCCACCCCTTCTCCATGGTAACGCACACACACACACACCCTGTCTCCATGGTAACACACACACATACACACCCTGTCTCCATGGTAACACACACACACACACACCCTGTCTCCATGGTAACACACACACACACACACCCTGTCTCCATGGTAACACACACACACACACACACCCTGTCTCCATGGTAACACACACACATACACACCCTGTCTCCATGGTAACACACACACACACACACACCCTGTCTCCATGGTAACACACACACACACACACACCCTGTCTCCATGGTAACACACACACACACACACACCCTGTCTCCATGGTAACACACACACACACACACACACCCTGTCTCCATGGTAACACACACACACACACACACCCTGTCTCCATGGTAACGCACACACACACACACACCCTGTCTCCATGGTAATTGTGTGTGTGTGTGTGTGTGTGTGTGTGTGTGTGTGTGTGTGTGTGTGTGTGTGTGTGTGTGTGTGTGTGTTGCAGGTGTACAGGTACCTGCCTGGCTTCGATTGGATCTTCCTGGACGCCATCACAGCCAACAACATTCGCTTCGCCAGCGATGAGAAGTATGTGACCTCCAGCCTCACTTCCTGTTTCCAGCAGCCGTGACCTTTGACCTCTGATTGTAAACATGGTCTTTCCATCAGAACCTTTGTTCAGAACTTGTTGACGACCTTAAAACCCTGATTCAAAGTCCACGGCTGCTGACCTCTGACCCCGCTGGATGTCTGTATATCACAGTGAGTGGGTGACATCCAGTGGCTGTTGGAGGAACTGCAACTTCATACACAGAAAACAGAGCTGTAATGTACCTGATGTCCCTGAATGTAACACTCTGTCTGTTCAGTGTGAATCACATCTCCTGTCCCGTCCTCATCCTGCACGCCGAGGACGACAGCGTGGTTCCCTTCCACCTGGGCAAAAAGGTAGACCGCGTCCTCACAGAGCCTCGTTAGAGACTCATTAAACTGTGGCTAACCTCCTCCTCCTCCTCCTCCTCCTCCTCCTCCTCCTCCTCCTCCTGCAGCTCTACAACATGGCCTCCCAGTCAAAGAGCCTCAGTGGTCACAAGGTTCAGTTCGTTCCTTTCTCTTCCTCTCTGGCCTACAAGCACAAGTTCATCTACAGGAGCCCGGAGCTGCCAAACATCCTCAGGTACGAGCAGCAAAGCCTCGACCAGGGAGAAACACTATATTTATATTTATATTTATTTATTTATTTATATAGTAATATATATAATAAGTGTTTTGAGGCTGCTGTAGTCGACAGTAACGACTCTGTGTGTGTGTGTGTGTGTGTGTGTGTGTGTGTTGCAGTGATTTCTTCGGCTCAGCTCACCAACAGACGGATGATTCAGCCTGAAAACAACCTGTCTCTCTCTCTCTCTCACACACACACACACACACACACACACACACACACACACACACACACACACACACACACACACACACACTCTCTCACACTCTCTCTCACACACACACACACACACACACACACACACACACACACACACACACACACACACACACACACACACACACACACACTGTTTGTTCAATCGGACTGAACTTTTTCGCATGAACTGAACACATCATTCTTCCTCCCTCCCGCATTCCTCTCCTCACGCCAACACGGTGGCGCCGACGTGTTCGTAGGTACGGCAGCAAAAGAGGAAGAAGACGATCGAACCAAACTGGACTAAAACGGACGTTAAAGATTTCTGTTTTTATCTTTTTAACACTTTATCATGGCGGCCCGACGCACTGAGCCGTCGGCTAGGTTCTTTAATCAGTGTGATTTTAATCTTTGTTGGTTTCTGTTGTCGGTTTTACTCTGTTGGGTCCATCTGATCATGTCTGACTCTTCTGCCTGAAGCTTCTCAGTTTGTTATTAAAAATGTCTTCTCAGTTTGACAGCCTGTTATGACTTGAATCATCAATTAAATATTTCTTGTTTTATGAAGCTGTGGTTTCGTTTTTAAATAATGACCTCTGCAAAAGACTTTATTTTCGTCAACAGACACGAATGCTGTAGTTAAACGTTGGTTCTAAATGGACTACATTACCCAGCAGACACCTGTGATGTCACAAAGGCCTTGACGCATTCATGTCCCGTCAGATTTTCTGTAATATTCAGTTTCAGACTTAGCTGACAACAAGTTATTAATTTAACACATTTCCCCAGAAAACAAAAAACGAGCTTTAAACATCAGCTGAGGTCAGTTTAATACAATTAACTTTAAGTTTGACAGTATTTCTACATCAGTGGAACAGTTCTGACCTCCAGCTGCGAGTACTTAAAGTTTTATTGTAAGTCAACAGACAGAAACCTTTGACCCACATTTACTCTTTAACTGATTATTTAATAATTAAACTGTTAAATTTACTCTAATACTGTTTAGAGAACAGAAATGTAGAATAAATGTTGTTTATCAGTGTATAAGGTAAACTGTCCAAATACAGTTGTTATCAGTGTAAACAGCAATAATTACTGTAATCTCACAGATAATGACTTTTATTACACTTCTATAACTTTTAACATTCACATTAAAATAGTAACAATCCAATAATAACAGCACTCTGCTGTAAATGTAAGTCTGGTTATTGTATTATAGCAGAGTTCACCTGGATTCATAGATCATTGTTTTACACTGTAAATATCTTTAAACATTTAAGACAAAAAATTAATTAATTCAGATTTTATATAAAATTAAAGCTGAAAACTATATTTTAATGATAAAAAATTACTGTATTTTCATGAATTCAATTCAATTCAATTTTATTTGTATAGCGCCAATTCCTAACAGAAGTTATCTCAGGACACTTTTCAAATAGAGCAGGTCTAGACCGAACTCTTTAACATTAATAACAGAGACCCAACAGTACCACCATGAGCAAGACCTTGGAGACAAGGGCAAGGAAAAACTGCCTGTTAAAAGGCAGAAACCTAGGACAGATCCTCCGGCTCTAGGTGGGTGGTCGTCTGTCTCGACCAGTTGGGGTGAGAGAGAGAGAGAGAGAGAGAGCGAGAGAGGCAGAGAGAGAGAGAGCGAGAGACAGACAGACAGACAGACAGGTGCACAGCAACAACAGTATTGGCAATGGCAGTCAAGCAGGACCATGGCAGGAGGCTCCACCAGGATCCATGAGAACCTGCGAGACGAGAAAGCACAAGAACTCCGGGGAAGAAGTGAAGTTAGTAACATGCATTAAAGGGACATGAATGAGTGCAGAAAGAGAGAGGAAGAGAGTAGCTCAGTGCACCATGGGAAATCCCCCGATAGTCTAGGCCTATAGCAGCATAACTAAGGGATGGTTCAGGACTCACCTGATCCAGCCCTAACTATAAGCTTTATCAAAGAGGAATGTCTTAAGCCTACTCTTGAATGTGGTGAGGGTGTCTGCCTCCCGAACCACAACTGGAAGCTGGTTCCACAGGAGAGGAGCTTGGTAACTGAAGGCTCTGGCTCCTGTTCTACTTTTAGAGACTATAGGAACCACAAGTAGCCCAGCATTCAGAGAACGTAGTGTTCTAGTGGGGTAATAGGGTACTATGAGCTCTTTAAGATATGAAGGGGCCTGACCATGAAGAGCTTTATAGGTGAAGAGGAGGATTTTAAATTCAATTCTACATTTTATAGGGAGCCAATGCAGAGTAGCTAGTACAGGAGAGATGTGATCTCTTTTTCTAGTTCCTGTCAGTACTCGTGCTGCAGCGTTCTGAATTAATTGGAGCGTTTTAATGGACTTATTGGGGCAACCTGATAATAAAGAGTTGCAGTAATCCAGCCTTGAAGTAACAAATGCATGGATTAGTTTTTCTGCATCTGTCTGTGATAGTATGTGTCTAATTTTTGTAATATTACGTAAATGAAAGAAGGCAGTCCTAGAGGTTTGCTTTATGTGGGAGTTAAATGACAAATCCTGATCAAAGATAACTCCAAGATTCCTGACAGTGGTGCTAGAGGCCAAGTTAATGCCATCTAGAGTGACTATATCTTTAGACAATGAGTCTCTAAGGTTTTTGGGGCCAAGAACAAGAATTTCGTTTTTTTCTGAGTTTAACATCAGAAAATTGCAGGTCATCCAGGATTTTATGTCCTTAAGACATGTTTGTAATTTAGATAATTGATTAATTTCATTGGGTTTGATTGATAGATATAACTGCGTATCATCTGCATAACACCGAAAGTTAATGGAGTGATTCCTAATAATGTTGCCTAAAGGGAGCATATATAAAGTAAATAGTATTGGTCCAAGTACAGAACCTTGTGGAACTCCATGACTAACTTTAGTATTTATGGAGGATTCATCGTTAACATGTACAAACTGTGAACGATCTGATAAATATGACTTAAACCAGCTTAGTGCGGTTCCTTTAATGCCAATTTGATGCTCAAGTCTCTGTAAAAGAATATTATGGTCAATGGTGTCAAATGCAGCACTAAGATCTAATAATACAAGTACAGAGACAAGTCCATTGTCAGAAGCAATCAGAAGGTCATTATTAACTTTAACCAGAGCTGTCTCTGTGCTATGATGAACTCTAAATCCTGACGGAAAATCCTCAAATAAACTATTGTTATGTAGAAAGTCACACAACTCTTTGGCGACTACTTTCTCCAGAATCTTAGAGAGGAACGGGAGGTTAGAAATCAGTCTAAAGTTGGCTAAAACCCCTGGGTCAAGAGTGGACTTTTTAAGAAGGGGTTTAATTACAGCTACTTTAAAGGACTGTGGTACATATCCTGATAATAAAGAAAGATTAATCATATCCAGTAAAGAAGTGCCAATTCAGGGAACAACTTCTTTAAGCAGCCTAGTTGGGATCGGGTCTAATAGTCAGGTTGATGGCTTCGATGAAGAAATGATTGAAGTTAACTGATGAAGATCGATAGCAGAAAAACAGTCTAAATATATATCTAAGTTTACATTGACAGAAGTCCCTGAACTTGGAGAGCCACTGATAACTGTTGATGGCAGTTGGTGATTAATTTTTTCTCTAATAGTAATAATTTTATTATAGAAGAAGCTCATGAAGTCATTGCTACTTAAGTTTATGGGGATATGTGGCTCAATAGAGCTGTGACTCTCTGTCAGCCTGGCTACAGTGCTGAAGAGGAACCTAGGGTTATTCTTATTTTCTTCTATTAGTGCTGAGTAATAGGCTCCTCTGGCATTACGGAGGGCCTTTCTATAAGTTTTAAGATTATCTTGCCAAATTGAGCGATATTCTGATAATTTGGAAGAGCGCCATTTCCTTTCAGATTTCCTAGCTATTTGTTTTAACTGGCGGGTTTGGTGGTTATACCAAGGTGCTAGTCTCCTATGTTTTAATAATTTCCTTTTTATAGGAGCGATAGAGTCTAATGTTGATTGTAGTGAGCCTGTAGCACTATCGACAAGATTATCAATTTCAGAGGGACTAAAGTTGTTATAGGACTCTGTTAAATTCAGACATGGCATTGAATTAAACACTGAAGGAATCTCCTCCTTAAATTTAGCTACAGCACTGTCAGATAGACATCTGCTGTAGGAAGTTTTGCCTAATGGCTTATAATCTAATAGTATGAATTCAAAAGTTATTAAATAATGGTCAGATAGGAAAGGATTATGTGGGAAGACTATTAAATGTTCAATATCAATGCCATATGATAGAACAAGGTCAAGAGTGTGATTAAAACAATGAGTTGGTTTATTTACACTCTGACAGAAGCCAATTGAGTCTATTAATGATATAAATGCATTACTAAGGCTGTCATTGTTAACATCCACATGAATATTAAAATCACCTACAATAATTACTTTATCTGATTTAAGGACTAAACTTGATAGAAACTCTGAAAATTCAGATATAAAATCAGAGTACGGTCCAGGAGCGCGGTACACTATAACAAATAGAACTGGCTGCAGTGTTTTCCAGTTTGGGTGAGAAAGACTAAGAACAAGGCTTTCAAATGAATTATAATTTAGTTTAGGGTATTAATGAGTATTAATATGAGTATTAATATGACTGGGGGGGGTGGATTCATTTAGGCTAACATACTCCTCGTGGGACAACCAGGTCTCAGTAAGACAAAGTAAATCAATATCATAATCTGATATTAATTCATTCACTAGAACAGCTTTAGAGGACAGAGACCTGATATTTAACAGTCCACATTTCATTCTCTTATTTTGTGCTACTGAGGAGTTGGTTTTAATTTTTATTAGATTTTTATGTTGAACTCCTCTTGTTTTTATTTCTTTAAATAATTTAGGTGGTCGGGGGACAGACACAGTCTCTATGGGGTTTTGGGTGGGTGACTGTTCTAAAGAAAGAGCAGAGAAGTGTGTAAGACAGCAGCTCTGCTTCCTGGTCCCAACTCTGGACTGTCAGGTTTTAGAAATAAACTTCGCCATATTTCTAGATAAGAGAGCCGCTCCATCCAAAGTGGGATGGATGCCGTCTCTCCTAATCAGACCAGGTTTTCCCCAAAAAGGCTTCCAGTTATCAATGAAGCCCACATCGTTTGCTGATAGTGTTGTTGCTGTGCGTCTGTCTGTCTGTCTGTCTGTCTCTCTCTCTCTCTCTCTCTCTCCCACCCACCTAGAGCCGGAGGATCTGTCCTAGGTTTCTGCCTTTTAACAGGCAGTGTTTCCTTGCCCTTGTCTCCAAGGTCTTGCTCATGGTGGTACTGTTGGGTCTCTGTAATTAATGTTAAAGAGTTCGGTCTAGACCTGCTCTATTTGAAAAGTGTCCTGAGATAACTTCTGTTATGAATTGGCGCTATACAAATAAAATTGAATTGAATTGAATTGAATTTTCCAACAGGTGGATTTTAATTTTCCACCGAGTGACTCATCTTCAACACAAACGATCTTTGTCTGTGCGCGTCCTGACGTCAGGCTCAGAGCGTCAGCTGCTGTTTCCGGGTTTCAGAATAAAACGCCTCCAGTCAGAGAAAACTTTTCCTGCGGGCTCCTCGTGCGGTTCGGTGTGTTTTCTGAGCTCAGGTGAGTCCGGATCCGGTTCCTACCGCCACGCGTGACCCACACCTGGCGTCTCACGAGCTGTTAGCGCGGTAAAAACTGCCGGTTCACTTCCGTTTGTCTCGTGTTGAAGTTCAATCTGTGTCTGCAGCTTCTGTCTGATCCGGATCCTCCAGAACCAGAACCAGAACCAGAACCCGGTCCGTCCGCCTCACAGGTCCACACCAGCAGGTAAAGACCCCCTTCAGACCCGGGCTGTTTCTGGAGTCCAACACAAGCCTTTCACTGGTTCCACTGGTTATACTGGTTCCACTGGTTATACTGGTTACACTGGTTTCACTGGTTTCACTGGTTATACTGGTTTCACTGGTTATACTGGTTTCACTGGTTATACTGGTTTCACTGGTTTCACTGGCTATACTGGGAGAGGCTCAAAGCTTCAGTTCAGTTTGTTTGTTTTAACAAAATAAATCGCAAACAGGAAGAATAATTTTACTACAAAATAAAAGCCCCATTTAGTGTTAAACTGCTCAGGAATCAATAATCAATAACTGATTCATCAATAATCAGTTAATAGATTATATAAACTATATATAAACTGTAGATTAACTATAGATAACATAAACTGTAGATTAACTATAGATAATATTAACTATAGATAAAATAAACTATAGATTATATTAACTATAGATTATATTCACTATAGATTAACTATAGATTATATTATTTGTAGATTATATAAACTATAGATTCTCTATAGATTAACTATAGATTATATTAACTATAGATAATATTAACTATAGACAATATAAACTATAGATTATATTAACTAGATTAACTATAGATCATATAAACTATAGACAATATAAACTATAGATTCTCTATAGATTAACTATAGATTATATTAACTATAGATTATATTAACTATAGATTAACTATAGATTAACTATAGATTATATAAACTATAGATTATAAAACCATCATTGTCTCCGGGGTTCAGCAGGATGTCGACTACGTCTCAGAAGCATCGGGACTTTGTTGGCGAGCCGATGGGAGACAAACCGGTGACGGCTCTGTCGGGGATCGGAGAGATTCTGGGGAAGAAACTGGAGCAGCAGGGATTCGACAAGGTGGAGACACAGCCGATCAATACATCGATCAATACATAGATCAATACATCAATACACTGATCAATACATGGATCAATACATCAATACACTGACCAATACATGGATCAATACATCAATACACTGACCAATACATCGATCAATACATCGACCAATACATCAATACACCTTGATAGATCTCGATACATCTATACATCGATCCATGGATCAATACATTTGCTGCATTCAGTGATATTGACAGAACCTGTTTTACATTTTTTGAGTTTCTTTATTTCTGTGTTGTGTGTGTCCGTGTGTGTGTGTGTCCGTGTGTGTGTGTGTGTGTGTGTGTGTGTGTGTGTGTGTGTGTGTGTGTGTGTGTCCGTGTGTGTGTGTAGTATAATGTATGTGTGTGTGTAGTATAATGTGTGTGTACTGTGTGTAGTATAATGTATGTGTGTGTGTAGTATAATGTGTGTGTACTGTGTGTAGTATAATGTGTGTACTTTGTGTACTGTGTGTGTGTGTTCAGGCCTTCGTCGTTCTCGGTCAGTTTTTGTTGTTGAAGAAAGATTCTGAGATTTTCGTCGAGTGGCTGAAAGACGCCAGCGGAGCGAATTCTCGTCAGGCTGGATCCTGTGCTCAGTGTCTGAGGGAGTGGTGTGACTCCTTCCTCTGAGACCCTCCTCTTCATCTGAGACCCTCCTCTTCCTCTGAGACCCTCCTCTTCCTCTGAGACCCTCCTCTTCATCTGTGACCCTCCTCTTCCTCTGTGACCCTCCTCTTTCTCTGTAACCCTCCTCTTCCTCTCTGTGACCCTCCTCTTCCTCTGTGACCCTCCTCTTCCTCTGTGACCCTCCTCTTCCTCAGACCCTCCTCTTCCTCTGTGACCCTCCTCTTCCTCAGACCCTCCTCTTCCTCAGACCCTCCTCTTTCTCTGTGACCCTCCTCTTTCTCTGTGACCCTCCTCTTCACCAGACCCTCCTCTTCCTCTGTGACCCTCCTCTTCCTCTGTGACCCTCCTCTTCGCCAGACCCTCCTCTTCCTCAGACCCTCCTTTTCATCAGACCCCTCCCCTTCCTGTCCCTCAGTGATGTCACACAGGTGTGTTTGTGTGTTTACCTGAATAAAATGTTTGTTTGTGAATTAAATGTTGTTTATTTTGAATTTATCTGCTGTCAAACACTGACGGCAGTTTCCACAGCAACCAGTCACATCCAGAAACAACTACACAATTAAATATAAAGTCAATAAATATGAAAACTGAAAATGTATAACTTTAATGGTTATTGATATTTTAAAAAGAGGATGTGATTAATATAAACTATAAATCATTTAGTAAATAACTAGTTGGAAATAATTGAATATAAATGAAATGAAATAAATATAAATACACATGAATGATTACAAATAACTGGATGTAAATAAATAAATGTTTAGAGACTTTAAACTATTTTTTTATTTAATATAAATAAATATTAATATTTAAATATTAATACTGTAAATAAATAATTAATAGATTAGATTAGATACTTTATTCATACCCAAGGGGAAATTCACAGTTTCCAGCAGTATCCACAAACTGATGATGATAATGATAATAATAATAATAATAATAATAATAACAACAACAACAACAACAACAAGAGGAGGTCAATTTAGAAGAACTAATAGAATAAAGTAGAATAAATAGCTAAATAACGAGAATGGGGCTAGTGTCCTAAGGTGCATGGTCAAATCCAGTGCTTGAAAGGCCTAAGGTGCATAAGTAGTATCAGTCAGTCAGTCAGTGGTCACATAATGCAGAGTGCACTGCGTCAGGTGGTATAGTTAACTGAAGGGCAGACATATTGGAGTTTAGAGTTTTCCTCCCCTGGGTGGAGCTGAAGAGCCTGATGGTGTGGGGGAGGAACGATCTCCTCAGTCTTTCAGTGGAACAGGACAGTGACAGCGGCCTGTCTCTGAAGCTGCTCCTCTGCCTGTAGATGGCGCTGTGCAGTGGATGCAGTGGATTGTCTCTGCCTGTAGATGGCGCTGTGCAGTGGATGCAGTGGATTGTCTCTGCCTGTAGATGGTGCTGTGCAGTGGATGCAGTGGATTGTCTCTGCCTGTAGATGGCGCTGTGCAGTGGATGCAGTGGATTGTCTCTGCCTGTAGATGGCGCTGTGCAGTGGATGCAGTGGATTGTCCATGATTGACAGGAGCCTGTTCAGCGCAGTTTGTCCAGACAGGAGGCGTCCTTCTTCTTAATGCTGCCTCCCCAGAACACTACTGCATAGAAGAGGGCGCTCGCCACAACAGTCTGATAGAACATCTGCAGCAGTTCTTTGCAGATGTTGAAGGACGCCAGCCTTCTGAGGAACTATAACCGGCTCTGACCTCTTCTGCACAGGGCGTCTGTGTTGGCAGTCCAGTCCATCATCATCCAGGTGTACTCCCAGGTATTTGTATGTCTGTACCAATATAATACTGTAAATAAATAATATTAATACTGTAAATAAATAAATATTAATACTGTAAATAAATATTAATACTGTAAATAAATAATATTAATACTGTAAATAAATAAATATTAATACTGTAAATAAATAAATATTAATACTGTAAATAAATATTAATACTGTAAATAAATAATATTAATACTCTAAATAAATAAATATTAATACTGTAAATAAATAAATAATGATACTGTAAATAAATAATATTAATACTCTAAATAAATAAATATTAATACTGTAAATAAATAAATAATGATACTGTAAATAAATAATATTAATACTGTAAATAAATAAATAATGATACTGTAAATAAATAATATTAATACTGTAAATAAATAAATATTAATACTGTAAATAAATAATGATACTGTAAATAAATAATATTAATACTGTAAATAAATAAATAATGATACTGTAAATGAATAAATAAATATTAATACTGTAAATAAATAAATAATGATACTGTAAATGAATAAATAAATATTAATACTGTAAATAAATAAATAATGATACTGTAAATGAATAAATTAATATTAATACTGTAAATAAATAAATATAATACTGTAAATAATATTAATACTGTAAATAAATAAATAAATAAAAATGCTGTAAATAATATTAATACTGTAAATAAATATTAATACTGTAAATAAATAAGTGATGTCAGACGTTGAAGCAGCTACAATCTTTATTGAAGACAAACATTCAGTTTTATTGCAGCGAGTAAAAACAGGAAGTCCTTCAGTAACAATCGGTGCTGTCGATACAAACGAGGTCGGAGCCGATAGTTCCTGCTTCCACTGGAACCCTCAAACACACCACGGCAATCACCATGGCAACGTTGTGAAACTCTGATTAGCACCCAGCAGCTAACGTTAGCTTGCTCATAGCTAACAACGCTAGCGACGCAGCAGCTAACGCCAGTACGAGAAAAATAAAGTTTTATAAACATTAAAATAGAATATAGAGGATAACACGAGCTCGACGCTTCAACAACAACATCTGAGAAAAATATTATTTTTGGCACAAACATCAACATCAATACAAATAATCAATAATCAATAATCAATAGAAAACCCAGCTGTTATATAACAAAGTGTAGAAGAAGATATTAAATATAAACTGTTGATGAGGTCACTGTTCAGGAGGAGCGTCTGATTGGACGGTCAGACGTGATGTCACACAGGTGTGTGAGGAGGCTGAAAGTAATCTGATTACTGTCAGTACATTAGATTACTCTGAGCAGCCAATAGGAGGCAGCGTTCACCAGCAGCTCGCAGCCTCCTCACAGAACCGGGGTCTGGGTTTGGGTCCTGGATGAGGTCTTCACGGGTCTGGAGGTCCAGGACGAGCAGGAAGTCAGTGAAGGTTTTCAGAATAAAAGCTTCAGTGTCTCTTCAGGGACTGGATGTGATGGAACGTGGCCCCGAGAGCCCAGCTGGTCTCCACCTGGTGGATGGTCCTCGCCAGCTGCAACACAAAGAGGACCGTCAGATCCACATCACACACACACTCGACTCAGACCCGGGTCCAGGTTCTGGTCCAGACCCGGGTCCAGGCTCTGGTCCAGACACGGGTCCAGGTTCTGGTCCAGACCCGGGTTCAGGTTCTGGTCCAGACCCGGGTTCTGGTGTTCCTCACCTTGAAGTGTTTGTGGGGGGGGAACCCGAGCTCCTGCAGCAGGACTGAGATGTAGACCAGGTCCAGACAGAGGAACGGACTCTGTAGAGGACTGACGGACAGACCGCTGCACACTGCAACAGCACATTATTAATTATTGATTACTGATTATTGATTACATCAGATATTGGAATCAACCACTGCTTCTGAGCCTTAAAGCCCCTGATTGATTGATTGATTGATTGATTGATTGATTGTATAAAGGAACAGCTGATCGGATCTACAGCTGCAGTATTAATACTGATACAGAACAGATCAATAGATCAATAATAATGAAACTATTAATTAATTAATATTAATAATAATATAAAACAAACAGCTAACAGAGATCAGTATGTTACAGTATTGATCACACTGCTTGATTAAAGATTAAGTTGCGTGCGTGTGTGTGTGTGTGTGTGTGTGTGTGTGTGACGCGTTACTGTGTGTGTGTGTGTACGTGTTACTGTGTGTGTGTGTGTGTGTGTGTGTGTGTGTGTGTGTGTGTGCGTGTGTGTGTGCGTGTACTGTGTGTGCGTGTTACTGTGTGTGTGTGTGTGTGTGTGTGTGTGTGTGTGGGTGTGTGTAGTTACTGTGTGTGGGTGTGTGTATGTGTGTGTGTTACTGTGTGTATGTGTGTGTGTGTGTGTGTTACAGTGTGTGTGTGTGTGTGTGTGTGTGTGTGTGTGTGTGTGTGTACGTGTTACTGTGTGTGTGTGTGTGTGTGTACGTGTTACTGTGTGTGTGTGTGTGTTACTGTGTGTGTGTTACTGTGTGTGTGTGTTACTGTGTGTGTGTGTGTGTGTGTGTGTGTGTGTTACTGTGTGTGTGTGTTACTGTGTGTTACTGTGTGTTAGTGTGTGTGTGTGTGTGTGTGTTACTGTGTGTGTGTGTGTGTGTGTGTGTGTGTGTGTGTGTGTGTGTGTGTGTGTGTGTGTGTGTGTTAGTGTGTGGTGTGTGTGTGTGTGTTAGTGTGTGTGTGTGTTACTGTGTGTGTGTGTGTGTACTGTGTGTTACAGTGTGTGTGTGTGTGTGTGTGTGTTACAGTGTGTGTAGTTCAGCTGATGACCACGTGATGGCGCCCTCTCACCTCTTTTGGCTGCGTCAGTATAATCTGACAGCTGGATGGTTCCTCCAGTTTTCTCCTCTGAACACAAACACAGAATCAATACACAGTTAATCCTCATACAGTCACATTCATTGATCCATCACAGCTCAGTGTGTTCATTAATGTAACCATAGCAACGCCACAGCAGCATTGCTGCACATTAATGTATGATGATCAATAATCAATAATCAATGAACAGTGTATAAACTCTAGAGGTAACCAATCCAATCCAATCCAACTTTATTTGTTAAGCACTTTAAAACAACCACAGTTGACCAAAGTGCTGTACAGGAGAAAAATTAAAAAAAAAAGACATAAAACAGCTCACAATGAGACAGACAGAAATGTTTAAAAACAGACAGGAAGAGGCCTGTTTAATGTGCAGAGGCAGATCATTCCATAATTTAGGAGCAGACACAGCAAAGGCACGGTCCCCTCTGAGCTTCCACTTAGTTTTAGGCACACTCAGGAGCAGCTGATCATCTGACCTGAGGGGGCGGACGGGTATATAGGGGTGTAGAAGCTCAGATAAATAGGGCGGGGCAAGACCATTTAGGGATTTAAAAGCAAATAAAAGAATTTTAAAATGGATCCTAAATTGAATAGGCAGCCAGTGGAGTGAGGCTAAAATGGGGGAAATGTTTACGTGTGCCAGTTAAAAGACGTGCAGCAGCATTCTGTACCATCTGAAGACGGGCGATGGAGGACCCACTAACCCCCACATA